CCCCCCCCAGACACACACTGAGGGTTAAATGCTTGTTAAGCCTAGGGGTAGAGGAATGAGCTATAATACTTACCTCATGCCTCGCTCCAGCAGGCGCTCTGGCACTCGGCTCTTCTCTAGGACATTCCGGGTTGTGAGCCTTTACCGTCAATAAGTACAATGCAGGACTATTGATCCAGCAATGTTTGTGATGGTGTCAAAGTGCAGCTGCTTGTGGCTGTGGTGGGGCTTTAAAGTGTATGTAAAGAATGAACTTCATTTACTTCATTTTTTTTTTTAGATAAAGTGGTGAAAGGTTTAGAACCCGTCATGTTTTCTAGCTGTCTTTGTCCCCAACAAAGCGAAAGGTGGCAAAAATAGAAAAACCTGACAGCGGTTTTAACCATTTCCTACTCAATCTAGAATGCAAAGCCTATTCACACCTCACCGAGTGCATTGGCACGTGTCAAATGTGTTTTCTTGCATTAATGCACATTAAACCATAGATCATAGCACACACACAGAGGCAAGATTTCCTGATCTACGTATTGTTCTTTGGAATTGATTACAAAGTCATTGAAACCACGTGATCAACATGACAGTCAGTTAAAGTGACATTAAACCCTCAGATTTTTTAACATAAACCAATACTGTAATGTGTGCCTTACTGTAATCCATGGTTGTTTCCCTTCTCTTTGCTGCTCTTCCTTTTAAATCCTCATGTCTTCTCATGCTTGGGGAGAACTTCTCTTTTCAGCTCAGGGCCTCTTCCTGTAGTGCTGGCTCAGGTTACAAGCCTATACAAACCTACACACAGACACCGTGTATCCATTCCTGAGACAAGGCAGTCTGCTGCAAAACAGAAGTTCTGCCCAGCATGAGAACAGATACAGATTTAAAAGGAAGAGCAGCAAAGAGAAGGGAAACTGCCATGGATTACAGTAAGGCACACATTACAGTATTGGTTTATGTTAAAAAATCTGAGGGTTTAATGTCACTTTAAGTTACATTTTCTGAATGAGAGATCAACAGTGGCAGTCTCCATATTTCCTTCAGATTAGGTTTCCTTTAGGCTGGGTTCACACCTGGGCGTACCATAGGCGCGTGTTTTTTCTGCTCGTTTTTCAGCTTGTTTTTTGTGCGTTTTTTAGTTCAGTGAAATGCGCGTTCGACGCTCGTTTTTATACCTCCCTGGCGGTATGATTTAGTATTTTCCTTTATTTTCTATTCTTTTTTCGTGTTTTTTTTTTACTTTCAAACTTCCCGCCGGTTCCGCCCCCCAAGGGATGGAACCCGGAAGTCGGCAGCGGCCAGAGGACACAGCGGGGATCGCGGACAAGTTAAGTCCTACGCTGTATTCCCGAGTGTGGCTTGGAGTTACCGCTTTGTTACCCCCCGAGCCACACTCGGGAATACCAATGGATAGGCGTGGAGAAACGCCCCAAAGAAGCTCCTGTACTTGTTTGGGCGTAAGGCGTTTTTTAAGCGTTTCCACGGGCTGAAATACGCCCAGGTGGGAACCATGCCCATAGCGATTCATGGTATTTTACTTGCTGAGCGTTTTTCAGCGCTTCGATCAGCGCTGAAAAACGCCCAGGTGTGAACCCAGCCTAAAATGGAAAAAAACCATTAGAGCACAGCAGATTGCCACAATATCATAGCCGCTTACCAGGCCTTAGATGTGGAGGCTGTATTAGTTTTTATTTTTTGCAAGCACACAACAATCCTGCTAGCAAATCAGTGCACCTGTAACTGTCCCTGTGCACCAAACTGAAATCTCAAACAATGTTATCTACCTTCCAAGCTACAGTCATGGGCAAAAATATTGGCACCCCTGCATTTCTGTCAGATAATGCACCACTTCACGCAGAAAATTGTTGCAATTACAAATGTTTAGGTATTCTCATGTTTACTTATTTTGCTTGTATTGGTGTGATACAAAAAAGTGGAGAGAAAAAAAGCCAAACCTGACACATTCCACGCAATACTCCAAAAATGGACTGGACAAAATTATTGGCACCCTCAATTAATATTTGGTAGCACAGCCCTTGTAAAAAATAACTGAAATCAATAGCTTCCTGTAACTTCCAGTATCAATGCGTTTCTTACACCTCTCTACAGGAATTTTGGACCACTCTTCTTTCACCAACTGCTCCTGGTCTCTCCACAGGAATTGGAAGGGTTCCTTTTCACAACTGCTGTTTTGGGATCTCTCCACAGGTGCTCTATGGGATTTAGATCTGGACTCATTGCTGGTCAGTCCAGTATTCTCTAGTGCTTTGTCTGAAACCATTTCTGGGTGCTTTTTGATGTGTGCTTTGGGACATTGTCCTGCTTTAAGACCCATGACCTCTGATGGAGACCCAACTTTCTGACACGGTGCCCTACATTGCACCCCAGAATTCTTTGGTAGTCTTCAGATTTCATAATGCCATGCACACAGTCAAGACATCCAGCGCCTGAAGCAGCAAAGCAACCTCAAAACATCAATGAACCTCCACCATGTTTGACAGTAGGGACTGTATTTTATTCTTTAAAAGCCTCATTTATTTGTCTGAAAACAGTAGAATGATGGGCTTTACCAAAAAGCTGTAATTTTGTGCCGTCTGTCCACAGCACATTCTCCCAAAAGGATTTTGGCTTCCTCAGGTAAGTTTTGGCAAACTCTAATCTGGCTTTTTTATGTTTCTGTGTCAGCAGTGGGTCCTCCTGGGTCTCCTACCATACCGTCCCTTTTCATTCAGATGGCGACATACAGTGCAAGCTGACACAGTTGTACCCTGTGCCTGAAGGCCAGCTTGAATATGTCTGGAAGTTGATTGAGGGTCCTTATCCACCAGTCAGGCAATCGTTTGTTGCAATCTTGGAATGCAATTGTTTCTTGCAATTTGGAGAAGATGCCATCAATTTCGTCTAGCCTATTTTTGGACTTTTGTGTGGAATGTGTCAGATTTGCCTTTTTTTTCTCCACTTTTTTGTGCCATACCAATACAAACAAAAGAAATAAACATGAGAACGCCTAAACATTTGTAATTGCAACAGTTTCCTGCGCAAAGTGGTGGCTTATCTGACAGAAATGCAGGGGTGCCAATATTGTTGGCCATGACTGTATACAGTATTCTGTGAAATACAAAATAACTCCCCTCTGTGTAATGGAGAGTGGGAGGTGTTTGTATTGATACTCAGGAAATCATCCTAGGGTGACAACACTGCTCCTCTATAGATACACTACAGTGGGTGAGCGTTGTCACCAAAGGACATTTGAAGTTGTCACCAAAGGACATGTTGAAAATGAAATACAAAAGCCATAAAAAGCAGGTGAGCTACAATATATAACATTTTGTTTTGGGGTATAGATATGGTTTAAAGCTGAATAAACTATATTGAAACTTTGACAGAATTTAGAACAAGTTTGACAGAAGAAATTTTTTTTTTTCTGTGATCTCTTTTTTATTATTTCTGCTTAATAAAACATATTGAACTTTGTCTATGGTTTCAGTCATCCATCTTTGAGCCACTGCCAGCCCCACTACAACAAAGCAGTGAAGTGACAGCCTATGATGAGTTGCTGAATACATATGAGACAACCACTGGCAGCACACATAACAGGAAGTATCCGGGGGGCATGTTTTCCCAGCCCAGTCACCCTCTTCCTCCTCCACACTGGAAGGTCCATTACAACAAGGACTTATGGGACAAGGTAAGGAAAAGCAGCCATAGTTCTAATTATGCATCTGTCCCAGTGGCTGAGAAAGGCTTTTGGCAACATACAGGGTTATTCACAAAAGGGTGAAGAGTTTGGAGAAGGCCGGAGAAGTGAACGATCTAGGACAATATAGCTGATTTGGAAAAATTCTCCAAAACTCACCCTTTTGTGAATAGCCCTGTATAGTCTCCTTTTGTTTTAGATACTGTGTATATACTGTATATATATATATAAATATGCAAATTTTGTAGGATGAGATTTGGTTTGATTTTAACCACTTGAAGGCCATAGTGTTTCACCCCCTTCCTGGCCAGGCCATTTTTCAGTATTCAGCGCTGCGGTACTTTGACTGATGTTTATTCCGTCATGCAACGCTTTACTGAAACGATTTTCATACCATTTTTTGGGGACAGATAGAGCTTTCTTTTGGTGGCTTTTATTCACCAATGGGGTTTTTATTTTTTACTATATAACAAAAAAAGTACCCTAAATTTTGAAAAAAAACATGTTTCCCTATAAAATGTTATGAAACATTTTTTTTCACCCCAATTTTTTGGTAAAATATAAAAGTCGGGGTCACGTCGGGTAAATAGACACTAAACATGTCAACCTTTAAACGCACACCCGCAGATCCTGCAAGCGATCGGGCGTCTCTAGAGACGCCTGACCGCTTGTATGTAAACAGCCATCGCTGGCTGTTTACATGCTGACGGTTTTCCCTCTCGTGTGCGGCGCTCAGCGCGGACACGAGAGGGGGGAGGGGCAGGACGTCTTAAGACGCCCTCCCGCTCTGAGCAGACGTCCATCTGGCCGTTCACAAACGGCCATGGACGTAAGGTAGTTAACATTCGATTTTGGAATGAATGGTGTTTCCAGAATGAAAACCACATTCACTGTTAGAATTTTGTTTGCTGAGAAAAAGTGTCCATCTCGCTTCTTCAGTTTGTGCGTCACTGCAGTCAATATTGATTGTCCATTTGATCCCATTAACTGGAATCTCAAAGGAATATTCTGAAAAATAATTTTTGTGGTTGAGATTCTACGGAGGTAAAGCCAGCTTAAGGTGGCAAAGTGAATTGGAATGCCCACTGTCCAGTTGGTTCAACCATTCATGGGCAACAAAGGAGCATTAGCTGTCCTTTGGGCTACAATTATATTCCAGTCAGTTGAGCCCTCTTCCTCCTCCACACTGGTGCCCATACACTGACTTGAATTTCGGCTGGGTTTTTATGTACTGGCGGCCACTGTATGGGTCTGTCGGCTCCCTTTCAGCCGGAATTCCTCAATCTGCTAATCGAAGGAGCTGGCTGCAAACTCTTCATACGATCAGAGCCAGCAGACAATGAGCTGCCCGCTCTGATAGGATATTCTAGCAGGTGCCGCCGCAACACAATGCAAACAGCGGCGATTCCTCGATCGATGCGCTGTTTGTGTTAATGGAGGAATCGCGTCAATTTCTTCTGTGCCGTGACAGGGGAGGGGCTGGATTCCCCCCTCCCCGATCCTCCAGCACTGACTGGCGGAACGGATGGGGAAGGGGGCGGGTACAGCTGGCTCTGCCTCTAGATAGGCAGAGCCAGCTGTCAGTCACGCAGCTGGGCGGATCCCGGCACAATTGTCGGGATCCGCTTCAGCTGCGGCGTCTCAGTATACCGCGAGCTATAGCTCGCGGTATACTGAGCCTAGGGTGACTGAAGGACGCTAGTTTGTGTCCTCCCGTTACCCTAAGGAGAACTATGGGGAAAAGCCTTAACCCCATAGTTCTCCTTTAACGTAAACTTCAATAAACCAAAAGGTGTACAAGGACTTTTCAGCATGTTCAGGACTGCATTGATCTGCTCTTGCTGTACACAGGCATGAGGCAAAACAAAACCAAAATTGGTAATTAGTAGTACAGCAAGAACCTGGAGGTGCAAGGAGTTTTAGGCTGGCTTCACGCATGTGCGTTTTGGTAATTTGCATTTTACCATGTGGAACCACAAGGCACAGTACTATGCATTGTGGTGCTATTTGTTTTGGAATGGCACCCCAATGCACATGTACTTTGGCTGTCAACGCACCTATGCTAGACAACACACATTCCGTGCATTGTGCTGTACTGCGTTGCTGAAAAGGCTGCAGTGTCGTTTTTGGTGCATTCAAGTATGCTGCATGCTCCATTTTAAATGGAGTGGCAGCATACTTGAATGCCACTCCATTTAAAATGAATGGTGTGCCTTGATGCAGCACATTGTAGGGCACAATGGACATAAACGTGATGGGAAAATAAAGGGACTTGTTAAGCATTTCAAATAAACTGCAATAGTTTCTGATCATGTTAGCTGCCCTAGATGTCATGCTGGTGCATTGTTTTCAGGGAGTCACGGATTAAGAACAAATATAGAGATAAGTAATACTTTTGCTGACATTTATTTGCTCAATGTTTGTTTTGGATCAGTGTCTCTGAAGCACAGATGCCAGAGACTGCCAGGAAAGTAACATTTTCAGAGGGAGGAAAGCAGAGGCATCTTTCAGATTTCTCAAATGACAAGTATACTTTAAAGCTGAATTCCAGGCACAACAACTTTAATTGAAATATAATTCTCAACAGCCACAAATGATATAAATCCACTTTGTGTGCACTAAATGCATTTGCAAACCCAGATAGTATCTTTAAAATATCTGCACATAGCCTCTGCAAAGAGAAGCGCTATGGGAGGGACCCTGAAGATCCCCCCACTACAAGCTGCCTGCAGAAAACTACAGAAGGGGGGCAGATACAAGACCAGTCACCCTGCACAAGGAGAGAGAGCAGCAGTGACTGGTCGTATTACTTGCTGCACAGAGGCAAAGTTTCACACTGGATTACTGCACAGATCTGGAAGAAATACACAAAGCGCACCAAGACTCAAGTAAGAATGTCTCTTGAATTTAGACAATATTTGCTTTAACTGGGGGAACTTATCCCAATCAGTGTGCTACTAATGCTGTCCAGCCAACACTGTTGCTGTGCTAAAGTCAGAAAGTTCACTCAGTTTATCTTAATCATAGCTCTGTAGTGCATTACAGTGCAATTGTGACTCAAACACCTCCAGTGACATCCGTTTTGAGATAGTTTACTAGGAAAACCAGATTTCAGAATAGGATTTTATGATTTTAGCAATTTTAACAGGTTAAAGATTTGAATGCAAGCACTGCATGTTTTTCTGCTAAACTAACAGGTCAATTCACAAAAGGGTGAAGACTTTGAAGAAGGAAGGTAACGTGAACAATATAGGACAATATAGCTGATTTGGAAACATTCTCCTATTCAGCTAGGTTGTCGTAGATTGTTCACTTCTGCCTTCTCCAGACTCTTCACCCTTTTGTGAATAACCCTGTTATGTCTTTATACCTTAGGCCGAGCCTATCATTAAAAACATCTATCTTGCAGCTGAAGGTGAGGGCATGGAGGACTCCAGAAAAGTCTTGCAGTGAGATGAAAGCACATTATCAGGGACGTCCAACTCAGCCGACCTACAGCACCTTCCACTCAGGACCACAACCTTTCCCATTGGAGAATCATCTGAATAAGGGGCCATCACAGGTTGGTATTACACTGCCCTGCATAATTAATACCCACAACACATGAGGATTACATTCCATGGCTACAGCCCAGAGATCATTCAATGGATATACAGGCTATGTAATGGGCAGACTATTGTATTACGGTGCTATGATTTGTATTGTTTATGGTTCCTGGGAAATTCTCAGCAGGCAGAAGTAATATTGTTAATATTATTATTATTGTTGTTGGGACCTTTTCTCTCACTTCCTGTCCCAGACCACCATAATAATTGAATAGAAACCTCTCTATAGTGAGGAAAACTCCTCTCTTAGACAGTCACCACTGGAAAAGGTGTCACTTGGAATATTTCTGTCACCTCCTGTTTTGGTGACAACTGTAAGGCCACATTCACACTTGCCGTGTCAGACCTGTTTTTATATGGGTTTAGAGAACATTGATTAGAAACTCTAAACAAGGGGACTAAACCTGCTGTAAGCCTTTCACTGCCACTGATGTATGCCATATGTCGGCAGCAGTGGGCCCCTGTAAATGGACTCCTGGCCTCTATAGCTGCTGGGAGTCCGTTTACCTGTGTAAAGCCAACTGTCAGTGTTACACTGGAAGCGATTTGGGCAGTTATAAAGCCACCCAATTGCTTCCAGGGGACAGTGAATGTGTCCCGCTGCCTGCACGACACACCTCGCCTTGCTTCCTGGGCTCCCCTGCCCCTCTGCTGGCTCAGGACTGGCATCGCGGGTGTCGGCAGGTAGAGGCAAGAAAGACCAGTGAACATCTGTTCACTGGTCTCCTTCCTGCTGAATGAAACTATAAGCGAAGTTGACCTCATCACTTCAGGCTTCTGAGCTGTCATTTCCTGGCTAGAGATATCAGGGAAGGAGCTGACCAAGCAAGATCTGTGCTTGATCATCTTCACAGGGCTGCAAAGGTGACATTAGGGGTCTAAAAGACCCCTAATGTCACCTTAAAGTGAATCTGTCACCACTAATTTGCTGTCGCCTAGAGGGCTCGTGAGTTCCCCTATGTGATAGCAATGAAGTTGAGTTAAAAAAGGGGAAATTATAAATATAAAAGAAAATCAATTTTGAAGCACCCCAAACATGTCTAAAGTCCCCCGTCCCTGTGAACCCGCACATACTAATGCAAACACGCATCAGGTGCACCTATATACAAAAATGGCAATAGCGCCATACATGTTCGGTTTCGGCGCATGCGCCTAAGTGAGAGCAATAGGTCTAGGGTTATTATTCACTGTTAACTCTAAACTGGTGGCCTGTTTTTACGCTTTTAAAATGTCAGTTGCGCTAATATCATGTGACAGAATTTGCAACTGCCAACATTTTATTCTACTGAGTCTGTGTTTTCAGCATATATAAACTTCTTGGGAGGGTGGGGCGGGTATACGTAATTTTCAGGCCTAAAATGTGGATTATAACATGTGTGAAATACATGATATAGGAAACATACACTTTGTATACACTTCCCAGATAATTGCTCCTACTTTTACATAACCTAATTGCAGGAGTGCAAGTGTAAATGAAGTCTATTGCCTTGTATATACAGACTTCAGCTTGTACGAGAGCAGTGTAAACAGCAAGCGTTTGCAAAACTTTCGGGCAAGGTTGGAGTGGCTTTTTTGAAGCCTTTAAAGTATTCTTCGCTTACAGTTCGGCAATATTTACCACATGATTTAATGGGAGTGGGAATGGGAATGGGACTCTCACTTTAAAGTAGAATTACAACTTTTTAAAATTACTTTTTGGTTCCCCCCGTGTAATAAACCAAGTGCCCATGCTCCATCTTCATGCTCCAGTGCTGTCGCCAGCTCCCTCCTTAGTCTGGTGGTCATCTTTGGGCAGGACAACACTCACTTCATTTTGCTGTGGGGGGATCTGAGGCCCCTAATGTGAAAGGGGGGACTGAGGACTCCAGTAGAGAGGATTACCCTGATAAAAGAGGGCTCTGATGTGAAGGGCGCTTTGAGGACTCTGATATAAAGGGGGGACTGAGGACTCCGGTGGACTCTGATTTGAGAGGGCTCTGATGTGAAGGGAGCTCTGAGGCTTCTGATCTGAAGGGGCTTAAAGGACTATGATGTGAGGGGGCTGTGGCATGAATGGGGGTACTCGAATGTGAAGGAGGGCATCTGATGTAAATATGGCACTCTGTGAAAGGAGAGGTTGGTTTTCTAACTCAAAACTATTTGAGCTCCCAACTTGGGACATATATAGCAATAAATTGAGAGAAGGCATGCATTGGAGGTAGCCCTATTCTCAAAGATACAGTAACACTACAGAAGGCAACTTAGGATCCCCAGGGTGTGTCTGTACCAAACCCAACAAAGCAAAATTGGCAGCTGCTCACGTAAATTTATAATTAGCTCAGCAAAGGTACACATATACTGTATAAGGCGTTACAGAGAAGAATACAAATATTCCGCAGCACTCAGTTCAGATAGTCAGCAACAAAAACCTTGTTAAAGTGTTTGTACATTTTAGGTTAAAAAAAGGTTTATGTTGTACTGTATATGTTTGCAAATATATGTGAAGTCACACCATACTGTTTAGTGTATTGGCCTACTGGTTACATAGTTACATAGTATTTGAGGTTGAATAAAGACATTAGTCCATCAAGTCCAACCGATTAGGATCTCATTCTAGGAGTACCTGTACCCCTGTATATTACGGTCCCTTAAGAAATCGTCCAAAAGAATTATCCGCAAACGGAAATATCGCTGTTAACACCCTCCGCGATGTCATCAATAAATAAGTTGAACAATATGGGACCCAGCACAGAACCCTGAGGCACACCGCTCATTACACTAGCCCAGTCTGAAAAGGTGCCATTTACAGATACCCTCTGGACACCCCCTTTTTGAATATTGGGACTACCGTAGCCCTCTGGTGTATACGGGTGTATACTTTTCCTTTTGCTACCTATAAATTGTTCTGAGCAGCTACGATTTTTTTCTTTTTCCTTTTGCCTCACACTACAATTGATCCTTTGTTGTAAGGCCTCTCTGCTCCTCATGCACTTTTCATGCAGTTTTGACAGCAGCTTCTAGAACCCATTGCTGGACACTGGGTATCCATGCTGAGCATTTCTACTATGAAGGATGGTCAGGTTGTTGCACCCAGCACAATTTCAAAGAGGGACAGTTGTATCTGGACTTATATGTTACATTGTTTTCACCCCTCCTGAGATCCTCGACAGCCCTCCTAAGAGCCTCAGCACTCCTCCTGAGACCCTCCACAGCTCTAATGAGACCCTCTGTCCAAGAGATCAGGCCAGCAGCACAGAGTAGGAACGCACCAATACCGTTTTTTCGGTAGTGAGTACGAGTACCGATATATTTTTGTTTTTTCAGTACTCGCCGATACCGAATACCAATACTAGCATCCTGGAGTACCCTTGGCCTGGCTTATCAGGAAGCCGGGTGGCAGGTCTATCGAACAAACTCCGGCTTCAGGTTCTGAGGCAGCCTGGCTTCCTGACCAATCAGGAAGCCGGGCGGCACGTCATGACCCACCTCCCGGCTTCCTGATTGGCTAGGAAGCCGGCTTCACTTGTTGCTAGGCAGCCTGGCTTCATTTGTTGCTAGGCAGCCTGGCTTCCTTACCAATCAGGAAGCTGGGCGGCGCATCATGACGGGCTGCCCGGCTTTCTGATTGGTCAGGAAGCCAGGCTGCCTAGCAACAAGTGAAGCCAGCTAACTAGCCAATCGGGAGGCGGGTCAAGACATGCCTAGCGACTTCCTAATTGGTCAGGAAGTCAGGCTGCCTAGCAACAAGTGAAGCCGGCTTCCTAGCTTATCAGTAAGCCGGGAGGCAGGTCATGATGTGCCGCCCGGCTTTCCTATTGGTCAGAAAGCCAGGCTGCCTAGCAACAAGTGAATCCGGCTTCCTAGTCAATCAGGAAGCCGGAAGGTGGGTCATGACGTGCGCCCAGCTTTCTGAATGGTCGGGAAGCCAGGATGCCTATCAACAAGTGAATCCGGCTTCCTAGCCAATCAGGAAGACGGGAGGTGGGTCATGATGTGTTGCTCGGCTTTATGATTGGCCGGGAAGGCTCCATGCTCCCTCACCGCACTGCCGGTCAGAGGGAATATCCCTCGGACCGGACATTCCGGTATTGGGGTAAGTATATGAGTATTCGTACTCGCCCAAATAGTCGGTATCGGCACCTCTACCGATACCAGAATCGGTATCAGTACATCACTAGCACAGAGTATTTAGAAAATTCATATACTATTATTCTGCATTGCTGTATAATGTATTGCTGGGATTTTTAGTCCTCTATAGTTGATGGTATTTGGACTGGGGCTGGGGGGGCCCAGTGAGATTCAGTCCTGCCTTCCCCCTATTGGAGGAGGCATGGTCACATGGTCCAATGTGCTTCTGAGCAGGGAGGGGGTGAGAAAAGCTCTTGCACCAGGGCCGTTTGTTCCTTAGGTCCACCACTTAGGGTGCACCACCAGGCAGGAAAATATTTATTTTTATGTGAAATGTGATTTGTCAATATTAAATAGACTGATTTAATACCTGTTTTTAGTCAATAGTTGCAACTACAGAAAATCAGGGCTTGGCCGGAGAATCATACTACATCAGAGATGGTGGAGTCTTGAGTTTAAATGACATTTATGCATCCACTACCATGCGGGATTTTAGAGCATTTACAGCGTGAGTATAATATTAGTAGAAACATTTTTGTGAAGATGTCTGTAGAAATGATGCTAGTTAGGTCACATGGTTGTCACATGGTTGTCATTTTGCAAATTGCGACAAGATTCTTAAAATGAACATGCCTTGGTCTTACAAGTGTCTTAAAGGGTAACTCTACTTTTGAAAAAAATTAAAATTTAAAAAAGCCTTTTTGTAATTTAATGTCATTGAAAAATTACCTTACCATTTAAAACTGTAGGTGCTGTAATGTTCTAAATCTGTAAAAAAAATCCAGTGCAATATGGCAACCTGGAGGTATTCTGGAGCTAGCCTGCAAAGAATACACCATCTAACTGCTGGGTTAAAAACAGTGGTTTTAGTTGCACAACTTTTGCAAAATATGAGGAAGCCGCACTGCCTCGTCTGTATACTGTGGTCCTAACTCTAATCTATAGGAGCCTCCATCTTGGAGCAAAGGATGAATTGGGTGCAGGTTTCTCAGGAAGTAGCCCAACCTCCTTAAAGGCACAGGGACACACCAGAAGCCCAGCACATCACAATGGCAGCTGAAGCCCCCAGTTTGTCCCCACACCAAATCGAAAGAGGTTGGGCTACCTCCTGGCAAAACTGCACCCAATTCATCCTTTGCTAAATATGCTCCAAGATGGAGGCTCTAATAAATTAGAGTTAGGACCAGTGGTGTATTTTGGTTTGGGGCTGCCCTAGGCAAGACAAAAAATTTAGATTTGCTCTACCCTTTCCTGTTTAGGACTTTTTGCTTAACCTGTCAGTCGCTGGATACAGCGCACACGTTAAGAGTAGATCATGTTCACATATCCAGTATATATATAGATATATATATATATATATATTTATTAGGGATGTCCTGATACCACTTTTTCAAGACAAAGTACAAGTACTTCCCCCTCATGTATTTGCCGATACCAATTGCCAATACTTTTTCTTAACGGGACAGGAAACAATACAGACTAATGATTTTAGGCCAATTTCTTCATGATTATGAAGAACTTTAGTTTAAGACTGTTTTAGAAAAATAAAACATTTGTATTTGCTTTCACACAGCTACAGTGAAACTACAAATCCCATCATGCATCTGCCTCTGGGATCATTTAACCTATTCATGTTAGCAGGGCAGAATTGTAATTCTATTGCTGCAGTGTACTGGAAGTGTGTGCTGTGGATCATTTAACCTGGTACACACTTCCAGTACACTGCAGTAATAGAGGTACAATTCTGCCCTGCTAACATGAATAGGTTAAATGATCCATAATACAACTACATGTTATGTACTATGGATCATGGTTTAACCTATTCATGTTAAATGGTCACTTTAAGGCCTTGTTCACACCAAGCGCGGAGCAGATCCGGACCAGAGCAGGTGCAGACCGGATCAAAACTGCGTCCAATGTATTCCAATGGTATTTTGACCTCCAGTTCACATCGCAGCATGCGGATCCAGACCGGATCCAGACCGGATGAAAAAACTGCGGCAAGCCCTATTTTACCTGCTCTGGATCTGGTCTGGAACGCATCAAAAACGCATCAAAAACGCATCAAAAACGCAAAAACGCATCAAAAACGCATGCAAGTGCCTGAAAGCCCATGTTAAACTTTAAAAAAAAATTTTTTTAACCAAAACCGGCCCTAAACGCATCAAAAACGCGTCTAAAACACGGCACAACCCACTGCACTGCGTGTGCAGAAACCTGACCTGGTCTGCATTTGGTGTGAACAAGGCCCAAGGATCTATGTAGAGGAGACTAGGATGGTGGTGGATTCTGAGACATGGTCTTGTCTAGGTACAGGCTCTGGAAGTTCTTGGGCTTCCTGGTGGTGAGGTTGGATTTATCCATCGGGCACTTCCTGAGTGGTAAATCCAGATGGCGGTAAACAACGACATAGGTGTGACAGACACTTAGTCAGAAGTATAGCTAAATTGTTTCGGACAACCAGAACTTAGTGGAAAAAAAACCAGAGTGGGAAGAACAAACACAATGATTATTTGTCACCATGTCCTTCCTCCTGGAGGGGGGCTACTTTTGTTCCCCATGGTCACTGTGTGTGCTGTAAAGTAGCCACGGCTCCAAGCTCGCTCCTGTGATGGACTACAATCTCGCGTTTAGTTTACTAATTTGTATTGAGATTGTAGCCGGGAGTGAGCTTGGAGTGGCTACTTGACAACACACGGGTAACAAAAGTAGCCCCCCTCCAGAAGGAAGGACAGTGTCAGCACCAATTCAGAGATGATTTGCGGATCTACAGCTAAATGACACACATATAAGATACATTGTTGTTAATAGTTAAGATACTTGAATGCATTTTTAAGATTTAACTCCTGAGTTTAGTGTCACTTTAACACTTATCATCTGGAATCCTTGCAGTGCTTTGCAAATCCTAATGAAAATACTCAATAAGTCTGTGCAAAGAGTAATGATCATATGCAGAGTACAGTAAGCCTTAGCAGCCACTTTTCACAGTTTCCTTCCAGACTAGGAGTAAAGAGCAGCCTGGGTATAAAAATACCATCTATTTTTATGCAGTACCAACTTGTTCGAAGACTATGGGGAGGTCAGGCTGTATTCTATAATGTAAACATGTGACAGTACACTGTGCTATTTAAAGAGATAATGAAGTAGATTAAGGATGATCAGCCTACTGGCACTTATACCAGTCCTCTGATGCCAGAATTGACAGAGTTTCACTTCTACCAACAGCAACCAAACCGACATAATTCTAAGCATACCAATTGTGTTTTTTCTTAAACTGTCATAATACATAGGGATTGGACTCCAGGAAGTGAGCATTATCATTGTTTGAAACCACATTGCGCTATTTGGAATGAATATATGTTGAAGTAATATGTAATGTTGAGTTTTATATTCAATTGTTGTCTATTTAACTTTACAGGAAAGAACTAGAGGGATATCCCAAAAAAGATATCTTGACATACTGGCAGGCAGAGGACTACCCTAAGGTTTGGGGGCATGGATTGAAAGAGAACCCCTTCCCCAAGGAGGCTCAACCAACACTTCGTCATCCACCTCCCATGCGTGACAGCATGCAGTTCCCCACTGGCACAAAATTGCCACGAATTCCACCTCGTGCAAGATCTGTCCCTCACCGTGGACTTAAAACTCTGGTCCAGGAGAGCTATCAATGGCCTTTGGATGTCAAGAGGTCACATGATGTTTATTTCCCACTGGAATGCCCCTGGACCATGCCACACACAGGGCCTCTACCAGAGATCATGTCTGTGCCCAAGATGTATGGAACAGAATATGAAACATATGGCAGTAAGCAACCAGTTGCTGTGTGACTTCAGATGCTAGTAAAGAATCATTTACAACATAGAAACAAAGAAATTAATGAAAATAAAGATTACTTGTTAAAAGAGTATTTCTTGTATGTTATTTGAATACAATATTAAGCTGAATGTTTCCAAATTAAATATAAAAATTAAATGTTTTTTCAATATTTTTTTCTTTTTTTAGGGCCACACTGTGTTATAACACAAATGGGACCTCCATTGCGCTGTTGCTTGTGTTAATTTGTGAATTACAATAGTTTCCATCGCTCATGCCACAATTCTAGATTTCATCATCAGCAAACAATTGTTCTTCATAAGGAAGGGACCCTTTTGTCACTGCAAATATGCAAATACAGATGTTTGTGTGTATACATACTGTAGTGTGTGTGTGTGTGTGTAAGTGAATGGCATGAATTACTATTAGACAATTTCTTTCCTACTGCTTGGGGATTTCCTAGCTACCCCTCCTACTCACTGCCTTGACATTGCACAAACTGATGTATTCTACATAAAATGAATGAGAAAACCCCCATAAGGTTCGCGGCAAGTGCCTGGAGCTGTGAAATCAAGTGTGCATGTCTTAAGTTGGTATTCAACCCAATGGCACCTGAAATACATTTTGGAATAAACTGACCTTTTCGAATTAAAGTACTTACATATTACTGTAATATCTATAAATAGTTATTGTATTCCAAAATATCATTCATTTTAGCATTTCTAGCTATAGCCTTAGGAAGGTGGAAGTGTTAGGTCTCATCATGACATATTCAGCTGCATTAGAAACTTCTCTGATTACAAACGCCCACACGAACAACCACCTCGCTTCTAGGAACTCAGGATACAGGAAGAACCAAGGACATGAAAGACAACCAATCACCTTATCTTTTTAGCATAGATGAGTTAATATTACATCATTTATCAAATGCAATATCTATTGTTTTCAAATCTTTTTTATGTGAGCATGGTCAGCTTAAAGGGAAACTATAATACATTTTTGGTGGTGGGGAGAATACACATGCAATTATTGTATCGTTAACCTCAAAGTCATTTTTGATGTGACTTCTTTAGAATTACTTCACCAAGTGGACTACAGCCCCTGGAATGGTGCCAAATTCGGAGCCAATATAACATTTTTGAAAATATATCTATACAAGTCCTAACTGAAGCTGCCACACCCTTTCCTTACAAGTTTGCAAGCTTCCAATTTGCATCATGGAAGGGACAACGAGGGGGGAAATTGGAAGTGGCTCTTCAGTTGCCAATTTTTTTAGGTGACATTGTAGCGCCTGTTAAGATTGAATTGCTTATAGCACCTTATTATACTAACAATATGGAATGACTCTGAACATGGCATGGAAAATGTCATTGTCACCTCACTCTGGTACCATGGGATAAATTAAAAAACATGTCTCTTTTGTACCCCGTAGTCTGGCAGTACCTTTGGTAATATAAAATGATGCTACTCTGCTTCAGGAAGGGTTTAGGGTGCCACCGGGTAACCTGAGGACAGTCCTAATTCTTGGGCTGGTTTGAGGCCAAAGCACAGAAATACTGAAACTAGAGGCTTCAAATTATGATGTACGGCTCTCTGGCATCCAGCTCTAAATAAACAACTATGAACCAACCAAAAGTCCAGACAGGTCCAGTTTTGAGCAGCTAGGGAAATTATTTGACTTATTTGATCTTGAGCTTTCAAATTTTGAGGACATGTATACACAATTAACCTCTGCTGCTATAATTTGCATATCTGAAGCAAACCTGAATGCTGTACTCAATCCAAGTTTTGACACAAAAACACAGAGGGAAGCAAACATTAGTCACTTGATGAATAATTCCACTCCTAGAAACATTCCTTTTCCTCCCCATAATCCTACATGACTCTCCTTTCCTTAATTGGCTACATCTGAATTGAACTCTTGAAGCAATACTCCACAATAGCCAGATGGACACTGAACCTAACATTTACAGTTGGTGTCTAAGATTTGTTGTTTAGTAGTTCTCAGTGTAGATGCTATGAATGTTCTGCCCTCTACTAAACTAGAAATTCTGGCTTCTGAGCTGAACAGAAGCCCAACTCCAAGTCACCTTGGCTCTACTATTGATAGATTCCCCTTGGTTCCTATATTGTCTAAAATCTAGTCTACTGAGGCCAAAAATGCCATAAAGCACCTGTACTTATCTGAGCAATGTGCTGTCACTCAATGCTCAAAAATGAACAGGCACAATAGAATGACATGGAAATCTGAGTGTCGAGCGTTGAAGTGCTTCTGGAAACACTTCAAATCGCTCAGGTGTGAATGGGGGCTTAAACTAAAGAACACATTCATGAGACAAATGGTACAATATACGTCTAATTCACACAACAATTTAACAACTATTTAACCCTTCTGATATCAAAAGGAGTCACATATAGAACACCATGAGTTCGACCCCAACGGGGTTCCAGATTCCATTTTGCATATCCAAAATTTCCCTTGTGGCAGCAACGTCTCCCTTGTCACCTTTTTTAGTTTTCCCTTCACTATTAAATAAATATACTGTGAATATTAACAAAAAATACACATTTCAAAAGAGGTTGTATTTATATGATTATGTAAGTGTTAGAGGTACCCAGGTAAAATCCATGTAGAGCAACATGTATGTTGGTACATTGAGTGTATCTTTAAGTACATCAGAGGAGAACATCTGTAAGTTATTGTATACCCCTATTTACTTAATACAGATATTTAGTACCGTTGTGATACATCTAAGTGAACCCAAATATGTAAATAGCAGGGGGTCTGTACAGTCATTAAGCTTATATCACAAAGCTAGCACAGTGGGTTAAGGATTAGTTTTATTTGCAAAGCAGTATTCCTTTAGGGCCCATTCACACTATTGCATTGCATTACACACATTGATTCCATTCATTCTGAATGGCATACCAATGCACCTTGCTGATGGTCGCAAGTTGCAGTGCAGTGCAATGTGCGGCAACACACTGTGTTGTGGTGTGGTTGCTGACAAATGCTACATGCATCTTCTTTGGTGCTTTCTGGTGTGTTGGACAGACTGTTCAAATGAATAGGCTGCCTAAACACAACGCACAATAATATGTGGTATAATGTACGTTAACGAGCACCATAGTGTAAATGGGCTTTTCAAGTTTTATCTTTTAAATGTCATGTTTCTAGAGCATGTTGAAAAATGAAATCAAGGTTCTGATTGGTTCCTGTAGGCTGCTACACTTCACCACTTCCTTTCCTCCAGTTTTTATTAATCAGTCCAGGTTTATATTATTCAATATTTGTATAGTTCTGTGAAATGTATGAAAAGAAAATGTTGCTATTTGCTCCAAATAGAAACATTTCCACATGAATAGATATATTAGGTTGTTTAGAAGTGATACACGAGAAGATGATCAGCTAATGTGTTTCCTTCATATCAAATTCGGACACGTTGGTCCTTCTGGGATTAATACACTCATTCAATTCATGATTTAGAAGATCTTTCAAGCATCAGCTGGTGATGATTCATTAATCTGTTCCGGAGGAGGTCAACTGATAAGGTCTAAGTAGCCTTCAAACCCCCACCAGGACTCACACTGGCATATGAGGGCGGAGCTAGGCTTGAACATTTAAATGAAGACTTCATTGGGCACACTGAGCAAGCTCGCACAGGATTGTGGCACCATCATTTAAGCACCATTAGATGTTCTCTACAATAAGGTTAGTATATTCTACTTATCTTTTGTTAAGATTTTCCTCAAAGAATTAGACCAATCTAAGTTATTATTTTCCTTTTCAGTAGATAGTGGAGCTTTGAGTCCTCCACCAGATTATTTTATCCCTCACTGTCTTTAGTGGTGAGCCTAACGACTTCTGTTCTTAGCTCCTGTAATTAAAAGAGGTCTTACTAGATGACTCTCAGTGGTAGGGCAGGGCACAGCTTTGACAGAGAGATCATGCAGAGAGATATAAGAAGCCAGTAGACATCAGAAACCATGGACAATAGAAATATCAGTTTTGGATGGAAAAACACTTTAACTTGATATTGATCAAAGCTGCAATTTTATGAATAACATCACAACAAGCTGTAACATGAACATTGCTTTATTTAAATGACTTCAATGTAAAGGGTGCCTGAACTTAGGTTACAGATAGTAAACTGCATACCTTTGGATTGATTTCAGAGCCCCCAAAGACACAATACCCAGGGGGCTTCATTATGTAACACCTGACTTCCGTTCTGGAAAGGCCCTGCCCTCTTCTGCCTCATCATTGTTCTGAACTATTTGTGAGGAAGGTCTAGGGGGCTGACGCTGACCATACTGTAACCCCTCCAGGAGCTGAAGGTTTGGGGCTTCTGGCAAGCTCTGGATGCCATTTCAATATACAGTGTGCTCAGCCATCTCTAGGTACCTGCATTTATTTCATGCTGTCAGACGTTACAGTGATCCTTCTGATCTGATGTCATTCTCTCTAAACTACATTGGAATCTGATTGGTTGTTAGGACTACTGCACTATGCACATTATCATTGCTTGTTTTACTGCCTAACTATTAAAACATAATTGACTTTGTAGACCAATGCCCAAATGAGTTAAAGCTGAAAGTTAATCTACTTAGATTTTGCCTTTCTTGGTTCCTCCTTTCCTTCCTCATCAACATGCTAATGAAAAAAAACTATCCATTTTTATTACATACCTTATTTTAGACTCAGTGAGGCAGATCATGGCTGATGGTAGGAGCTGGCAGGGTGCTGTACATAGCTTCCTGAAAACATGACGGCACCCTGCCTCAGGAGTCCTCTCAAGAGCCCTCAGCCCTGATACAAGCAGTGGGCTGGCTCTTGGGAGGGGTAATGCAAACATCAAATTGTCTGTCTGGGTGGTTGTCAGAATGGAGAAATTGGGCAGTCCTAAGCAGGCTATATTTGTATGCAGATTGACCCAGGCAATGGCCACATGTGATGTTAAACCTCGATAATTGCAGTGACTGAAATCCAATGAATAAGGAGCAGGCCAGAGACATACACCTTACAATTATCTGCAGATTTTCTGTGGTCAGATGGAAAAAGTGCGACAGATTGGCCTAGGTGGAGATTACGCCATCCACACAGTTAAGTGTAGATGGAGGAATCTGTTGCACCTTTTCCATCTGACCACAGAAAATCTGCAGATAATTGTAAGGTGTGTGGGCAGCTTAAGGCTAGGCAGGGAACAGCTAGATGATGCTGCATGGTCTCCAGCCAGGAAATCAGACAGGCTCTGACTGACTTGCTGGAGCTTTTAATGTACTTTGAGAGAAGCTCGCAGTGTGCAGTAAAATTAGAGTAAAAATAAGCTTCTGACTCAAGCTATGAAATTCAAGCTATGTGTGGCCCTGCCAGCTCCACTCTGTTCAACAAAAGTGGATTGTCTAAGTTGACTGTTGTTGAAGGAGCCGAGTGGAAAATGTTGGCCAATCAACTGCAGTTTAAATATACTGACAGCTGCGTGTGTCGGCTGTCGGAAGACAATATCCTGGATGGGCGTGGAGAGGAGAATAGAGCGTTTTTCTCATTTAGGCTGCGGAGCTGAACAAGGTAAAAAAACGACACGTGTGTGACCAGCTTAGAGCGGACCTTTACCCATAAAATAACAACAAACACACCGTTAGAAATGACAATCTATAAACACATACTTCTCGATAATTGCCGACTTTGTATTCTTTGCATACCTTATGTGTCTTTTCTTCCCCAGTCTTCTGACAGTGGCCATGATTACTAAGAGCAGGTTACTGGCTCTCCTATTACTTCCTGGACCTCTGGCACATGTGACTAGGACATGTGACTAGGACATGTGACCATGTACATCATCTCAGGGGAGATGATGTACATGGTCACATTTTTTCCCATTCATTTTCAGTCATTTAGCAAGGGTGCTAATTATACAGTCAGCCACTAGGGTATCCACCTTCAAATATGAATGAAAAAGCAAAATGGCTTCAAATATTATAATCACATTAACAAAGCACTACATTTTTTTGCCCATTCTGTTTTTCCAGGATGTTTAATTGTCAGTTGACGGTCCTGCTCCTGTTCGCTCACTTGTCTGCTGTGCAAGGACGCCACCTATGCCACCTTGCTAATGCAACCATCTCTGCAGAGAAAGACCACTGTCCACTGTGTGTTACCTTCACTACCACCATCTGCAGTGGCTACTGCCAGACACTGGTAAGTCTCTGCTGCAATTAGAAGGGATTTGTCAGACTGAAGATTTGTTACAAAGTTTTCTATAAATCAACCAATAAATCAATCATAGAGAGATTGGGAATCTAGAAAAGTGTTTCTCAATCTTTTTTCAGTCACTGCACCCTTCAAAAGTAAGCAAAATCTCAGGGCACTACAGCCTAAAATGTAATAACCGTAAATGTAAAAATCAGCGTGTGGTCCCTTTAAAAACCATTCCAGACACTTATCCCAGATAGGGCTCTAGCATGGATTTTAAGGGGGGGAGTCCATGCAAGAACAAAAAAAAGTTGGGTTTCCCGTTCACATATTTGTCCCCCTTTATGTCAGAAGCCCCCCTTCACATTAGGAGCATCCTTCCCATCAGAGTCCTCCCTTTCACATAACGGTAACCCTTTATATCAGGAGCTCCCTTCCCATCAGAGTCCTCCCTTTCACATAACATTGCCCTTTATATCAGGAGCCCGCTCTTCACATTAGGAGCCCCCTTCCCATCAGAGTCCTCCCTTTCACATAACGTTCTTCCTTTACACCAGGAGCCCCCACTTCACATTAGGAACCCCCTTCACAACAGAGTCCTCCCTTTCACATAACGTTCCCCCTTTACACCAGGAGTCCCTCCTTCACATTAGGAACCCCCTTCACATCAGAGTCCTCCCTTTCACATTAGGAGACCCCTTCACATTAGGAGCCCCCTTCACATCAGAAGCCCCCCTTCACATCAGAAGCCCTCTTCGTTCACATCAGAAGCCCCCTTCACGTAAGAAGGCCTCTCACCATCAGAGGCATGATGCTATGTGAACATTATAAGGCACCCTGGTTGAGAAAGGCTGATCTAGAATAATAAGACACTGCAGTATTATAATAAATTTCTACGAGCTTCATTTGTTGTAGTCCTGGAAGGCACTGGTATCAGCACAGTATGGGGCCCGTACACCTGTAGTCCTCTTGCTACATGGATGCCGGCCCATATGCTTGAGATGCAAAACCTGCAAAGATGCAAAAACAGGAAAGGAAGATACATTTATTTTTAATTTTTTATTAAAAGTGTAAAAATGCATAAGAATGCATAAGTTAGCCTGATCTGTGTGGGATTCCGACCCTGGGTATCCGATAAGAGATCAGTTGGCATGAAAAAGCCCCCCTATGTATGCGTACCTCCCAACCTTATAAGATGGGAAAGAGAGAAACATTTTACCCCTTTACCACATTGCAATCCGTCACACAGACTATGATGGATGAAAGGAAGATCATTGAAACCCTATGGGGCTTTTCCCACATCTACATTTTGTTAATATTAAAATTCTAACTAATGCAATAATCTGAAGAATGGCGGAAAAGTTTAGTGCATTTTTATACACATCTGTATTCTGCAGATCAGAGCAATCAGAGAAACAGAACTCACATTGGACTGCAAACATTCTCAGAACACCAATTAGTAATTGTCAGTACAGGTCTGCACGTCATACATGGGGGGGAATTTATCAAAGCAATTGCAACCGTTTTAGCCTCTTAGATCATTTTTGTTTATGTGCACATCTGTCTTTTAACATGTGCCCGTTTTGACCAGAGTTTGCACTACTTTTTCAACTGCACGTTTTTTGCACCTGTTTTCATCTGCACTTGTTCAGGGCTGTATGAAACTGGAGCATCACTTAAGAAAACAATCACAACTTAAGAAGTCCCCATGACCACTCCTTCAAGAACTGACAGTTAAACTTTTTGCCTGGAGCACAAGTCTTCTTTCCTGGAGTCTATTAAACCTCATTTATCAACAACATGACACTAGCAACATAAATCTGGTGCAAATATATTCTGTGCAAGTTCAAACACTCGCAATTGCTATGATAAATTCCCCCCATTATCTTTAGAAGCACAGTTAGTAGGCCACTCTGCTTCAGCACGTAGGAATAAACAGGCCTCATACACAGGGGCTCTAGCTTGTATACGAGCAGAGCGTACTGCAAGCTTGGGCACTATTTCTTGAGGTTTTTAGTTTTAGCTCCATTTTGAGAATGTTCCTATAAATGAGAGTGTTGGTTGTCACTTTAGACAAGCTGCTAACAGACTTTAAGCCCAACTCCAGTACCCCCCCCCATGAATTGCTTATTATTTATTTTACACTTACCTCTATCTGGTGTCTTCAGACTGAAGGTCTATGGCCTCGTTCACACCAGATGCACACTGACAGGTCCTCTTTATGGAGACATTAGGGGTCTCCAATAACCCTAATGTCAACTGGGGATTGAAGGTAAGGGTGCAGGAGG